GATACCTTCACGCCGCTAGATTTGCTTTTGCTATTGTTGTTGTTAGCAGATTGATCCTTGGATTGCTTTGCATTGCCGGTCACAACCTCGAAAATGGTTGGGAGCTCATTTATCATCTGGAAAAGCCTCTTCCTGAAAATGAAGCGGTTCATCGCATAAGCTTAGAGGCAAGTGATAATTATTTTGTTTTAACAAACTTAATTCCAAAGAAGATTTCGATGAGATCCAAACCGGTAATGTTCCTTTACTAAGTCCACCAAAAGAACTACACATACAGAGACTTTGATACATGACCCTAGACAAATCCAGAATCACTTCTGCTCAACTTTCCTTTTAAACTGTTATCTCTCAGCTAACGGATTCAACAACTCTTGCTAAGTCGTCAATAAAGCTACAATCAAGTGCAAACTGCCTAGGCTATTAACAATGATTCTGCACTAGAGTAACACAATAGATACTAATCAGAATAAGAGACACATATCACATCTATTGACCTGAATCCTATATATTCAAATAAATTGATCCAGTTTGGTGAGAATCATAACACTTGTGTTTCATGGAGCAAACAAAGGTTTAACAGAACCAAGCCATTGAATTAAAAAAGCAACAAAAGATTGTTAACATCAGCACCAAGAAAAGACAAGAGGATGCTACAAAAGGTCATTATAAGCCTATAAAGTAACCTTACCACAGAGGAGCAACCAAGATTATCACATTCAAGGACTGAGCTAAGAAGGAATCTTACCTTTCGTTCTTACCAAATCCAAACCGTGCACCAAAGTAAAATGCAACAGAAAGCAGCCATGAATCACTGTGGACTGCGACCAAAGATACCCAGTCCTTTTCTTGCATTCCGTCTCTTGCGAAATTAATGCCTAAAGCTGGTTCAGGAAGCTCAGGAGGAACTTCCTCGACTGGAAGATTAACCTCCCATGTCTCATTTGGAAGTCCATAGAGACACAAATTCTCCTTCTCTGCATAAACAATAAAGAAACACCTCAAGAGAAAACCACACAGAGAACAATTTCCATCTTATCCACAAACAACAAATCAAGTCTTCAAACAGATTCAGATACAGAGCTGAACACTTTCAATCTTACTCGCGAAAACAACGATAAACACGAATCACTATGAAACAATTAAGGACATTGTAATCAACTAAAACTCTAGATAACCATTGATCAGTGAACAAATTTCATGAAACGACACTACAAACATACAAATCTCACTAACCGTAAACTGGGAAGTGGACAAAGCTAAAAAAACAAGACTTTTTTAATACCTTTGAAGAAATATAACTCACCAGGATCACACGTTTGGTAAAACTTCACCATATCTGCATAAAAGAACAAAAACCAAAACGCAGAATCGTTAAATCTCACGAAAGTAGGGATTTTTTTTGTTTGAAGCAAACCCCAAATGAAGAAAATCCGTAAATCTAACCGTTTGTGAGAGCTTTAATCAGACCAGCTCGTCGACCTCTGAAGTCACTAAAGACTTCTTCGACAGTTCGAGGTATAGTATGAGTGATTCCTTCCATTTGCTTAAGCAGAAGATGTCGCAGGAGAATGAATTAATCGCCGGCGAAGGTGTGAAAATCAAAATCTGGGTCGAATGTTTGGAAACAGAGGACGAAAACCCAGAAAGGAAGAAACCTTCAGTTTGGGTTTTCGGATTTGGGGAGATGAAATTTATAAATCTTAAGAGAGAGATTTAATTTGTGGAAATT